CTACAGTGTGTGTGGGCAGTAAGAAAGATGGAAAAAAGATGATTTTAAGAAGGAGAGTCGTGGACTCCATGATGTTTGAGAAAAATAGGGAAAGAACTTAAGAATTTGAAGTAGTGTCCTGAGTAGTTCTACAGTGTGTGTGGGCAGTAAGAAAGATGGAAAAAGATGATTTTAAGAAGGAGAGTCGTGGACTCCATGATGTTTGAGAAAAATAGGGAAAGAACTTAAACCATTTTGAATTTGTTTCTCTTCAAGACTGGGGACCATGTGGGATACTCTTTAATAGAGTTTAAGCAGGTGAGACATACAACTCTTTTCTTTTTTGTTAAATTCTTGTTTTGTATTCTGGATTTTTGGATTTTGTTTTCTCAAGTTTCCTTTTTTTTTTTTTTGGTAAAGATCACCATGATTTATACCGTAGAGAACATATTGGATGCAGGTGTTGGAAGGCTATTGCAATAGCCAGGATTAGAGATCATAGTAGAGTGACTAGGATTAAAGCGTTGGAAATAGAAGGAAACAGATTTCTGTATTTAAAGGTAAACGTGACAAAATTTAGTGATATTGGATAGAAAGTAAATGCTAGATATCTGACTTAATAGGGAACTGAAATAGGCACATTAAAATAGGGTTGAGTAGACTATGTATTTGATTTTGGGCACATTCACTTTCAGATATCACCGAAATATCCTAGAGGAATGTCAGTTGTATATATGAATCTGCAGCTTGGAGGAGAAGTCTTGAATAGATATAGAAAAGTTTATGTGTGTATAAATGGTAATTTAAGCCTGAATGTGGGCAAGTTTGCCAATGAGAGGTTATAAAGAGGAAAGCGCCTAAAACTATACCTGGAGGGTACTGTATCTGTAAGATAACCTTGCAGAGGAGACAGAGAATGAATGTTCAGGGAAGGTAGAAGCAAACCAGGGTGAGTGTTGGTCTATCTTTTTCACCTTCAAATGAAATCTTAATATTTTCCCTTCTATGGAGTTATGGATTTCTAAACTTAATTCAAAGAGGTCATAAGAATAGTGGGACCCTTAAGCTACCAGTGCTTTTCTACGTAGGCTTTTCCCAGTGGACATATTCTCTGGAGCTTATGAGCATTCATAGTACAGATGTAAAATATCTACACCAATTACAGTCATGTGAGGCATAACGATGTTTCCGTTAACAATGAACCACATACACAGTAGTGGTTCCATAAAATTATAATGGCTATACCATCTAGGTTTGTGTAAGTATACTGTGTGATGTTCACCCAATGATGAAATTGCCTCATGACTCATTTTTCAGACGGCATCCCTGTGTTAAGTGATGTATAACTGTATAATCAGCTATGGAAGCCACAACAGTAGTACATTGAGTGGGTCCAAAAAGCCCCACCCACAAGATCATATTAGCTTCCCTTCCCCACTGTGAACACTACGCAGACCTCAGCAATTGAAAGCAGGTGACTTATCTTTCCATAAGATGGGTATGAAGGTGACTTGGGCTCCTGTATCCAACAGAGCCATAAAGTTTTGAGTCCACCTCCTTCCCAAAGTTATCTCACATACCCAGATATGTTAGCGGTCTTCATTCTCCTTTGGGAACTTGGAGAACTTGGTCCCATCCCTAATCATCTTTCTCTTTAAAACAGCTGATGTCGAGATATGGGGGAGGTTGGAAAAGAGCAGTTCTGCACCAGTCAAGAAGGGACATTTACTTTCAGTTTTGAGGGGTGCTGTAGCTGAATGCTGATCAGCCTAATAAACCTACAATGTTGCTGATCCACCCAAAGCCCTCCCTATATTTTGTGCCAAGATCATCATTACTGACAGCATCCATTTCCCTTTGGGAACACCTTGGTTCAACAGCTATAGCCACATTGCTTTCTAGTGGGGGCATTAGGTTTTGTACTCTTTAGATAGCTTGGGCTTTATCTGCACAGTGGTGTTATTTTTTAAGAGTCCACCTTCTTTTGGCGGCTGGCTGGTACGGAGATCCCTACCCTTGGACCTTGGTGTTATAAGGCTGTGTTCTAACCAATTGAGTTAACTAGCCAGCTAGGGGTCCACCTTAATGTGGGCTATTTGCTGCTCCATTGTCAAGAAAATGTCTCTTAAATTCTTAATTTCAGTGCTAGGGCTAGGAAGTTTTCTAAGGCTCCAGGGGTGACAGCAACAATTATCTAGATTCTTTGAGTTCATTTCTCATTCTCCTGTGAATCACCTTCATCAGCTTTTTAAACCCAGTCCAGTGTAGTAGGAGCCTATAAACTGGTTAGTGCCCAAGGGAGTTTGTCTCAGGGAAATTTCCCCAAGAGGGCCAAAGCTCTCTTATAGCAGACATGACCCATTCCCAAAAAGTGCTGAGGCCCTTTACTGTCATCTCAGAAGGATTGACTGTTGACAAGATTGGCTGCAGGAGAAGCTGAGCACCAAGATAGCCAGCTGTTGCCATTCTTCTTATGTACCAAGCATTACATGCCATACTGCCCCTTCATTTTCCAAGCAAACCATCCAAATTTCTAAATATTTGTCTTGTTCTGCCTACAGTGGTTGCAAATTTTTCTGCTTTAACACTCAGTGTAGATGCATGTCTCTGTAACTGTTATTCAGAAGGGGTCAGAATCTTATGTGCTTTCCTGTCCCTCTTCCAGACAAATCTTAGTACTCGTTGTTCATGGGGCAAACCTGCTGATGATGACAGCATAGGGAGTAAGTCCTCCGATCTGGAGGATAGTTGGCAATAACCAGGACATCATTCAGGCTGTTGCCTTTGAATCTACCTAGTTACTAGTTCTTAGCCTGAAACTACCTTTTCATTTCAGCCTTATTAACAGATAATGAAGTAGAGAACCATTCATTGCCTGGTTGACCATGCAATTTGGTTAACATGTTCACTAAGGATTCTCATGGACTTTTCTGAATTCCTGGTATCCGATCTTTTCTTCCATTTCTAGAAAGCTTTATCTTTTCCGGCATTCTATCCTCCTTGCCAAAACTGTCAAAAATTGTGAAGGGTCTGAGATTTTATCCTCGCTAGCTAACAAGTTAGCCTACCATAATTTCATAAATTCTGATGGAAGACATCAGACTCCTTGGTCAGAGACAAGGAGTCCTCATCCTTGGTCCTCATCATTACTCATGGCAATAGCAGTAGCCAGAGTGTCAACATTTGTGGTAGATAACTGAGCCCCAGTTTCCACAGGGTACTGCAAAGAGAGCCAGGTGATGCCTGCATACACAGTTGGGTGTATTCCAGGAAGGGACTCCTAGTTTAGGGGACCAGATCTTTTATAATGGGCAGTAAACCTTTTTTTTTTTTTTGTCTTTTTCCATGTCTGGCAACGGATCGCAACCCTCAGTGTTGCCCCCGTACCGGACCGGGGACCGGCAACGGGATTGCAACCCTCAGTGTTGCCCCCGCACTGGACCAGGGACTGGCAACGGGATCACAACCCTCGGCGTTGCTCCCGCGCCTCGCTCAGCCAGTGAGAGGGAACCGGTCCGTATGTGGGATCCGAACCCTCGGGCGGGAGTGCCGCCGCGCTTCCCAAGCGGGGCACTATCCAGTGCGCCACCGGGCCGGCCCGGGGCAGTAAACCTTTTTGACTTTTGCCTTGGAGGACTATATTATCTTTATACTGGACAATAAACAAACCTGCCTTTTTATTTTCCAATGACACACTGTATTTTCTAAAGCTGTCTACTATATAAAAATCCAGAACAAAGGAGTTAGTGCATCTTCCTGCAAGATGTACAGAAATTCTAGTCTCCCATGGAGAGGTGCTTCCTTCCACCTTGTTTTGGAGTTGGGATAGCATTTTTGATTACATATTCTTTCCCAATCAATTTAAAACTTCTGGTGAAATGATAGAATCTTAATATGTTTGTTTGAAGCATAACATTAAGCTGTTCTTTTCTCTGACAATACCTGTTTCCCCCTTTTTCTTGCTTCAGTTTTGTTCAGATCCTGGCCTTTTCTCACATAGACTACCATAATTGCCTCCTAACAGGTCTCACTGTCTGTAGTCTTATTCCTTCTATCTTCAATACCTCTGACAGAGAGATCTTCTTAAAATGCAGATATGATCATGTCATTCAATTTAAATTTGTCATTGGTTCCCCATTACTATTAGGACAAAGTTTAAATTGTTGAGCAGTTGTGTGTAATTATTTCTCATATACTAACTACTATCCAACTTTTAGATGTTGGCAATTAAATAAATATTTTTAAAAAGCCCTGTAGACCACTATAGGTAGGCTCACCAAATAGGTGTATAGGTTATTTCTCATATACTAACTACTATCCAACTTTTAGATGTTGGCAATTAAATAAATATTTTTTAAAAGCCCTGTAGACCACTATAGGTAGGCTCACCAAATAGGTGTATAGGCTGCTTGTTGCCAGTTTGTAACCTCTGCTCTTATTTTTTTCTTTCATGCTTTGTCTGTAGTGTGCAGTTCTTTCTGCCTTTAATAATTTCCATATCTGCCTCTTATACTCATATTCATCCTTTAAAACTTACCTACTCAGTAAAGCCTTTAAGTGAACCCTTTTCAACTTATTTAGATTCCTTGCTTTGAACACCTTTATAGTAATTTCAGATAAACTGCATGTGTCACTGTGGCACTCATTGTGTTGTAATTACTCATTTTCTTTTTGGTCTCTCTTACCACCACAGAAAGTTTAAGTTACTCAGAACAAAACTCCTGTGCCCTTCCACATGTACTAAATCTTTAGGAAAGAAAATTGCTTTCCTCAGAATTATTTTAGAATCAAATTCATTAAATTAGTTGGTGCTTTTAATCACCTTTAGATATTCCCTGCTTTGAGCCTTCAGGATATTAATTAGCTTAATTTTAAAGGGAAAGATATAGTATTCATTGGAAAATAGACATGAGTTGCAGTCCCTATAGTTCAACTTATAGTCCAATATTTATGGACATCATATATATTATTTACAATGCCAAATAATATTTTCTTGCTTTGTTCAAATTTATAATACAGACCGTGGATATTCATAAAGAGAAAGTGGCTCGAAGAGAGATTGGTATTTTGACAACAAATAAGAATACATCAAGAACTCACAAAATAATAGCACCTGCAAACATGGAACGCCCTGTAAGGTATATTCGGAAGCCTATCGACTACACAGTTCTGGATGATGTGGGCCATGGTGTCAAGGTAAGCATTTTATATTACATTAACAAACTAATTTGCATATCTAGTAAATATTTTGGAAAGGAAATATGGTGGTAAAGATAATTTTCTTAATTAATAGTCTCTTTAGCTAGTAACTAGCATTATTCTTTTCATAGAATATTTAACATTAATTATGTATTTTACTAAGCTTGGGACAGAATTTTACCTGTCAAATAGGCTATATTCAAAAGATGTTAAAACTTGAAATGACTGTTTATTAAATAAGCCATTTTAATCCTAGACTAGTATTATAAGTTTGTGTTGTGAAAGTCATGTCTTGCTTTTACTACTGAATAAATATTTCAAAACAAAGAATTTATATGCTTCCCAAAATTGGTTTAGAAAGTCATTTATAAATATTTTTATCCTTTTATTCCTAAATATGTATATATATTTGTGCACCTGCGTGTATGTGGATGTAATTCCAGCAACTTATAAAAAAATTAAAATGGTATGTAATTTTGTTCTGTGTAACCACCCGCCCCTCCCCCTTTCCCCCCAAACATTGTACACAGGCATGCTTTTAGGAGAGAGATTATTTGTTGTCCATGTCCATTTCTAAGCATAGCTGAAGTAACTGATCTTGAAGGATATCTGTAGTCTGTCAGTTTTTTTGGTACTTGTGGGTCATTTTGCAAGCATCTGGAATGACCTAAATTCTTTACACCTCTCTGCTCGGACTAAACTATTCCTCTGAGATGTGGTACTATGGTCCCTTTCTTAGAGGACATTATTTGATTTTGTTTTTGGTCTTCAGAATATTTTATGGTAATTTTAAAGGAGTGAGCTAGAATCCTGAGGCTTTTGTAGCTGGTTGACCTGACTAGTGCTGCTTCTGGATCTGTTGTAGTATGAATTTTCTGGGGTGCCTGGATGAGAGAGGGGTATAGCTGACAACGTTTATCTTTATTCTTCTCTTTTCTGAGACCATTTGAATCTCCCCTTCACGTTCTTGCTCGGAAGTTATATGTAAAGTTGGAACACTGCAAATGTAGAGGAGACTACTTGTTTGTTCCTGTATTTTTATCAAGGGGTGTGGCTAGAGGGTAAATTTAATTTTAACTTAAGATATTTTAGACTAAATCTATGGGGTTTCAACTTTGAGAGTCTGGGAAAAACCTCTTTTGTATTATTACCTGCCTTGGGATTTTGTGTGTGTGTGTGTGTGTGTGTGTATGCACATGCACACACACATGCACACACACGTACACACAATGGGTCTTCAAAAAGTTCATGGAAAGATATGTGTTATCTTTTAATTCTATTTTTCTGTGAACTTTTTGATGTACCCTCATATACATTTACTTGTATATAAGACACACTCAGTAGCTTTTCCCCCTAAAGCAATACATACTAGTTAGAAAAGCTGTCATTGTCTTAGAAGTGAATATCCTCCATTGTCTCATCCCTCCACAAATAATTGTGTTTAACAGTTTAAGACGTAGTACTTAGCAGAGTATAAGATGCATACAAATTTTTTTTTTTTGGTCCTTTTTGAGACCGGCCGCACTGCGCTCAGCCAGTGAGCGCACCGGTCATCCCTATATAGGATCTGAACCCGCGCAGGAGCGCTGCTGTGCTCCCAGCGCCGCACTCTCCCGAGTGCGCCACGGGCTCGGCCCAGAAACAGTAGTTTTTAAAGCTGCCCAAGTAATTTCAATGTGCTTTAACGTACACTCAAAGGTTAAGAATCATTATCCTAGACTAACCTTCTGGCTAAGATAGAGTAATAGGGACTGGATTTACCCTCCCACCTAAAACAATCTTGTATACGTACATATGTATATATACACATATGATATGTACACACACGTGAGAGGGGACTTCAAAAAGTTTATGCAGGGCCGGCCCAGTGGCGCACCGCTACAGTGCGCCGCTTGGGAGCGTGGCGGCGCTCCCGCCGAGGATTCGGATCCCACATGCAGACCGGCCACTCACTGGCTGAGCGAGGTGTGGGCGCAGCACCGAGGGTTGCGATCCCATTGCCGGTCCTGGTCCGGTACGGGTGCGACACTGAGGGTTGCGATCCTTTGCTGGTCAAGAAAAAAGACAAAAAAAGGGGAAAAAAAAAAAAAGTTTATGCAAAGATTCTTATTATCTTCTAATTCTACTTTTCCACAAACATTTTGAAATACCCTCGTTGTGTGTGTGTGTGTGCGTGTGTGTGTGTGTGTGTGTGTGTGTGTGTGTGAAGCAAC